CAGAGGAGAAGCCCTGCCCACAGAGCTGTTTGGGGCCGACCCTGAGCCCTGCCTGAGATGTTGGGCCCAGGGGCAGGCTTCCTGCGTGCCCGTTCAGGCCCCTGCGTGGCCAGCGGACCCTGTCACCCTCCTGCCAGAGTGAAGTCAGTGAGGGCCACCCTGACTGAGTGGTGCCTGGGTGAACCCTTCTGGAAGTGGCCAGAAGCCAGCCTGGTTCTGTCTCCTCACCTCCCCACCAGCCCTGAGGCTTGCCATCTGGTTTCACGTGAGGGGGACCCCCGGGCCTGGGTGGCTTTAGGCATTAAACAAAATGTTTTCCGCCTGCATGGCCACATCAGGGAGATGGGATCAGGGACCCAAGGAAACCTCCCAGCAAGAGAGCCTCGGTGAGTCCTGGGCACAGCAGCCCTCCGTCCGGGAGGCTTGGGGCAGGCAAGGGGCAGCCTGGTGGGAGGGCAGGACCTCGATTGCCTACAGTTCTGGTTCTGTGTCTCCAGCCTTTCTCTCGCCTCTGGGACCGCTGATCTTAGGCTCACTCTTTGCGTGCTTGTCCCTCCAAGGCCGCTGGCCTCCGGCCCACCTCGGGGTCCCGTGGTGTGGGGCAGGGCCTGAGCCCTAGGGCCCCAGTCCCTCTCCCAGCGCCTGGCTCTCGAAATGCTGGTGTGGGGGGCTGCGTGGCTACTAGCTGAGCCTGGGGCCCTGGAGACAAGGGTGGGCCCTCCAAGATGAGCAGGAAGGGGGAAAAGAGCTGCCACTCAGGTTCCGGGTGGTTTTACACTTGGCTTTGCGTTATTCTGTATTTTCTGAAATGTCTTCAATGAGCATGCGCCATTCTGCAGTCAGAGCAAGGAACATAAATTGTGATTTGTAAGAAATTGTGGAGGGTCCTCCGCGTGTGAGTGCATGACTGGGAGTTACGGCCTTGTCAGATCCCTACTTGTCCTGCTCCCATGACGGTCCCGACCTTCAGGGTGGTATCAGGGCCAGGTGCAGAATGTCAGGAGGCTCCCACTGCCGGGGCTGACCCTGGCGTGGCACCCTACTGAGAGTGACCGCCCCTCAGATTCTGCCCTAATCCCCCTCTGCTCAGCAGTGGGAGGGCCGCCCTGGGCCAGGCTCCCGGCTTGGAGATCCACAGGCCAGCAGGATAACCTTGGTTCCAAGAAACGAAGGATGAGAAGAGGCAAGCCCTCCCACCCTGGGAGAGAAGAAGTCGGACATGACATCCAATTGTAGGGGCTGCGCTGGGAGCAGAGCCCCAGTTTCACAGGCTCCCAGCGGGGACCCGGGAGGAAGGGCTGGTTCTCACACACCCCAGCGCACCTCCCACGTGCAGACACACCTCTCTCACACGCTCCCCCATACGTGCACCCATGGAGACAGTGCAGCCACACGCACACACACTCACACACACACACTCAAATTTGCAATGCCTGGTACCCTGCTGGCTCAGCTGCTGAGAGGGGAGGTGGGGGAAGCCTGAGCGAGGTGCAGCACAGAGGTCATGGCCATGGTTGGAGGAGGGGTGTGGCCACCTCATCTTCCTTGGATAGGGAGTGTCCCTCTGGAGCCTCACGGGCAGAGCCGAGTGGGGTCAGGATGCACAGGGCAGCCCAAGGGCAGAGCTGCCAGGAGGCTGGTTATCGCGGCGAGAGCCCAGGAGGAAGTGATTTTCAATGCGTCTTCTTACTGTGAGAACCTGGCAGCCCCCTGCCGTCTGTGCCATGGGCTTGGGGCCCAGGGGAAGGCCGGCCCCTCATTTGTTTCCTCAGGCGGGAGGGCAGGGGGCCCAGCACCAAACCCCTGGGTGACTGTGAGATCCTCAGGCTGGGCCCCACCCTGGAGAGCAGGTGCTCATGGTGGCCAGCCACAGGCAGGGCTTGGGTGGTGACCCCCAGCGAGGCCATGCTTTCCCGGGCAGAGGCCAGCTGACGCTCCACGGCCATCACCCTGGTCCACTTACAGTTCCATTTGGGAGACCGGGGGTTAACACGAGGCTCCACCATGCTGGGCATTACATTTCCACACACACACACACACACACACACACACACACCCAACTCTGTAGGCAAAAAAGAGAAAAAAAATTTTTTTCCAGGTGCTAAAAATATTATCAGGAAATATTTTTCAGCAATGTACTGTTTCAGGTTCCCCTCTGGACTCAAGGGTGCCTTTGTCTTTGCCACAGAAAGTCCACATTTATCAAAACCAAAATCACTTTATCAAGCAGGCCCGTTCTGCGGCCGGGAAGCTGAGCCTCCCCAACAGGCCTGGGATATTTTAATTTAGGACCGGAGTGTGTGTGTAGTTTAGAGGGGGAGCCCCAGAGCTGACCTCGGGACACCCCAGGACTCCATGCAGGCCAAGGTGGGGAGCGTCCAGCTGGTCCCTGGAGGGCTGGGCTGCTAGTGGCAGGGGCTGGCTGGCTGCATGCTCCTTTAGCTTTCTCTCCTTCTCCTCAGAGCAGCCGGTCCTCCCATGTAGGTGAACCCAGAAGCCTCTGCCCCAGGGAAGCCCTTACCTGCTCTGGGAATGGGTCCAGGAGGTCACAGGGCCTGGAGGGGCAGATAGGGTCTGGCTCCCAGGGAGGTCCACCCCAGGTGGTCACTACACTGTAGGGCTGGAAGGGGCCTTGGAGCAGCTGGTCCACTGAGGCAGAGATGGTGGGGCTGGTCCACGTGTGGGACGGGCGCCCCCAGCAGAATCTCACATAGAAGCCACATGCTCACCATTGGAAATGCTTAGGAAAACACCAATTTATTTCCATTAGAAAAATCCATTTTCCTAAGTGTATGACTTTATGTGGAATAAGTGAAAGTATTATTTCTTACATTGATCGAATTTTTGTTGAAATAGAAAAGTTTTGGAGGGCTCACAGGCACCTAGTGTCTGGGCAAGGAGGGCCCTGACACCTCCAGTCAGATCGCTGGTCGCGTTGTGGGTGGCCCTCATTTCAGTGCTGAGAAACCGTTCCGACCCTGCTCACGTCTGAGACGTGTTTCTCTTTTATCCCTGTGCTTTTATTAAGCACCTCCTCTGTGCTGAGGGCTCCAGTTCCAAAGGTGTGACACCCGAGAGCCCAGTGGGCGCCACAGGGATGCAGAGAGACTCCAGTCTCCAGCTTCTGGTTCTCCCCCACCGTCCCTCAGGTCCTGCTGAGGGTGGGGGTGGCGGTGGCGGAGGGGGGTCCCCCACAAGGAAGCTGCCTGCCGGCTTGGGGCGGAAGGGAAGGGACCCGTCCGCTACATGCCAGGCCCTGAGTGCCATGTGGCCCTGCCCTTCCCCATCGGTACCAATGCCCTTCCCCATTGGTACAGCGCCCTCCAGCGGCGGGGTGAGCCTGCCTGCTGCCCGCTGCTCTAACTGGCCACTGCAAGAGGGTGAGCAGCAAGGTGCCTGCACCACCACGAACGCCGCCTCTGCCTGGAGCAGCTGTTGCTCACGAATCACCAAGCTCTTCCCCTCTGAGCCTGGGCTGAACTTGCGAACCCTTCTCAACACAGCCACCGGCGATCAGGCAGGGCTGGCAGGCAGAGCGACGCCTGTTTGCCCACCCCTCTCTGGTCGCTGCTCTTGTGCAGCAACTCCATTGCCAAGGAAGTTCTGCTAGGATAGCCCATTGCCGGTGCTGGGCCAGCCTCGAAACAGACACATAGATGGTCTGTCTGGGCCACAGCTCAGCGTGACTGTTGAGGGGAGGTCGCTCCACGAGTCCTCGAGGGTGTCATGGGGGCTCCTGGAGGGAGGGGGCAGCTGGGGCGACCAGCAGCTGTGCACCAGGCATTTGCTGGGCTGGCTGGCGCCCCACAGATGTTGTAAACACACCACTTACAGAACAAAAGAGGCCGCTTGGAGAACAGACAAGTCACTCTGACCAGCATTGATGGGGGAGCAGAGAGGGAAGCTGACAGGTGACCCAGGCCGTGGGCCCAGGATGGCTGTCTCCGTCTCCACAGCAACCAGGGCTGGATTCCCGCAGGAATTGTCCCAGAGTTTATGGGCTGGGAAAGTGGGTGGTTCTCTGACAACTAGCTTTGACACCCCGACGTCCCTCACGGCTGGTGAGTCTCAGGACTTGGTTCTGAGTCGTTTGCAGCCACCTGCCACTGTGACGGACCTGCAGTCCCCGACACGGGAGGTCCTGCTGCCTCTGGAGGGGCTGCGGCGGCCGGGCCTTGCAGGGCATTATGTTTTTGGCTTCAGTTGGTGGAAATGTTTTCCATGTGTTTCCCCATGTTTACGGAGCTGAGGGCACGGAATGTGGCCTGTGGCTGCGGAGGCCGGCCTGACGGGGCCTGGCCACCAGACTCTGGCCAGGTCAGCACATCTGAAGCAGCACCAGGCCCGGTGCAAGCTGCGCAGACAGTCTCTGCTGCTGGGGCGGGGGCTGTGTCGGAGAGCAGTGTCTGAGGCTTGGTCCAGCACCAGCCAGAGGCCGAGGACCCAAGGGCTGGGGGAGCGCCCTGTGGTCAGTGGAGCAGAGGGTGCCCGCCGACCCCCGGGGTGAGCGGTGAGCTCCGAGCGGTGGGCCCCGGTGCCCCTCTCGAGCGCGGCCCCGAGCAGCACGAGGCCTGAGCTTTCCCAGCCGGGGTCCTGCTGCCCGGGGGTCAGGCCTGCGGCGGCCGCGTGGGCTGGGCACTGGCTGCAGGGCTCACTCCTTGGCCTGGACGGCCTGGCCGAGGCAAGCTTGTCGCTGCCGCTTCGCTTCCTGGTCCAGCTGCTCCTTCAGGCTGGCCACCTGGGGACGGGCAGGCGCTCAGAGGGGTGGGCAGGCCTGGTGGCCAAGAGCTCTGTGACAGGGAGGGCCGGGAGGCCACAGTCCACAGCTCCCACCTCAGCATGAGCACCACCCGGGGTCACCCGCACCCCTGGTGGGCGGACGACCTCCACTCAGGCCGTGAACACGTGCCAGTGATAAGGGATTAACGCTCCTTGGCTCATAGATGTAGCAAACGTGGCTTGAAGGGTGGGGGACACTAACTTGGGGGTGGCACTGGGCAATCACTTTGTGTCTCTGGGCCTGAAGTCCCTCACCTATAAAATGAGGGTTTTGTCTGGGCGAGTGGCTCCCAGGTGTCTGACAGCTCGGAGCGGGTGGGGCAGCCCGGCCGGCGTGTCTGGTGTCTGCATGTCCGCGTGTCTGCGTGTCTGTGTGCACGTGCGTGTGGGCCGTGTGGGTGCACGCGCAGGGCTCGGTCCTGCCTTGCGGCTACCTCGTCCCCCCAGTGCTCCCTCTCCCTGACTCTGCGGGGGCCGCCGCCACTCCGACTGCTGTGCACCAGGCCCTCTCTGGACCTACACACCCCGCGACCCCTGGCCGAGGGACGGTCCTCACCCCGCTTTACGGGGGGCGAGGGGGGCACAGAGAGGGTGGTGACCTGCTCCAGAATCCCCTCTGCCCCTCAGTGAGGCATGCGAGTGACAGGAGGGAAGTGTGGGGGCTCTTGGAGGTGGTCTGGAGCCCACTGGGCAGTGGCGCTGCTGGGGGACCTCAGGCTGAGGCCAGAGGGGTGCCCTGCAGGGCCCTCCCTGCCGCCCTCTGCTGCCCTCACCCCCGGGCGCCAGGCCCCCACCCACCTGCTCCTCCAGCACCTTCACCTGCTGCTGGTGGGTCCTCCTCTCTTGGGACGCCAGGCTCTGGGTGGCCTCCGTGGCCAGGTCTCGCTGGTGCTGGGCAACCAGCTCCCGGAGCCGCTGGGCGTGGGCCTGCTCCAGCCCCGCGATCTGGACCTAGGGTGAGACCGCAGGCACATCACTGCTGCCCGCCCACCCGGGGCTGCTCAGAGCCCTGGGGCCGCGGTGTCCGACGCTCCCCTTGGGGCCACTATTCCTTTGTCCAGCCCTCAGTAGGCCCCACTGCCCTCTGCTGGGGCACAGGCCCTGGCCAGGACGGGCAGGCGTGCCTGGGGTTCAGGACACACATCCTGCCACCGGGGCCATGTCTGGACTGGAGCCCCACCCACCGGCCTCCAGGGGGAGCCCACACCCATTTTCACGTGTCCTAGTTCCCCTTGGCTGGACTGGGGGTCCCACAGGCATCACGGGCCGATTCTCACCCCCTCCCCACCTGCCAGTTCCTGGTCTGGAGGCAGAGGGTCTGTGCAGTGGTGGAAGGGGAGGGCCCTGACACCTGCGGGAGCAGCCACGGGACCTGCCTGCAGGCCTGCCAGACCCTGTGTTTCCCACGCTCCTCCCTCCTCTGGTCCATGCGCTGGCTCACAGGTCCCGGACTGTCCCCCACTCCCGTGGGCCTGTGGAGCCCTGGGCCCTGGTTCCAGCTCTCCTGGGGACCTGAGTGTCGCCCTGTGGACCCCTTGGTTGTCTGGGGCACCTGTGCTGTGTGGGAGTGTTCCCACCTGCCCTTCTCATCTGCGCATGCACGTGTGTGTGTGTGTGTGTGTTTGCACACATGCATGAGACAGAGGCACCCTTCTGGGACCCACACCCACCTGGACACCCTGGCTCCTGGGCCAATTCCCAGACGGGGGCGTGGAGCTCTGCCGGCCCAGCTGACCCGCAGCTGGTGGTTCTGCCTCAGGGCCTGTCCACTTCCCGCTGCAGGGGCTCAGGGGCTGGGCCGGCCCCTTCTTCTCAGCCCTGCCCTCATTTGGTCCCTGTCCCTTCTCAGCTCTGTCTGCAAGAGCAGAGCCTGTGGTCGCCCCCTGGCGGGGGTGTGGGGTCGGGCCAGCTTCCCTCTGGGGAGCACGTGGGGTGACCCCGGGAAGGGTTCTGATCTCCTGATTGCTGGCTGGGTCGGGGCAGGGCACCCCCTGGGCCAAGACACCCAGTACCCTGGGGCCGTCCAGCATGTGCAGCTGGTGCGAGGGCTGAGGGAGGACCACCCGTCAAGCTGCCATCCTGCTTTGGACCATCTGCTTCTCTTGGGGGTGTCCTGGGTCTACCTCCCGGCCTTTCCAGCCTTCTTCCCAGCCTCACGGAGCCTCCACCCACTGCCTCCTGTCTCCGCTGCACCTGCAGCCAGCCAGAGGCCCCAGGCACTCCCTGTCTCTGTGTAGGGTTGGGGCAGTGGTCTCAGGCAGAGGGCCAGCCCAGCTGCTGGAGGCCCAGGTCGGTCCTCACTTCAGTGCCCTCTCAACCTGCCCCCACCCCGCCCTGGGCTGGGTCAGGCCTGGTCTCTCAGGGGCCCTGGGACGCAGCGGGTCAGGCTGGAGGGCGCAGGTCTGGGGCCGGTGGGCAGAGCATTGCAAAAAGAAGGATCTCTTCCTTTTCCAGGGCTGAGGGAAACGAAGAGTCTCCCGCCGCTGAAAAAGGAAGTCCTGCTCCTTTAAAAGTCCAGCTACACTCTTGGACGTGCATGTTAGAAAGAGAAGGGAAAAGTGGAATCCAAAGTAAATAAACGGCCGCATCCGGGTTTCCCCTCCTGAGACACCAATAAAGGGTTTATGGGTTTTCGGGCCCCTCACAGCTGACCTCCTGGAACTCATTAGCTGTTCCTGCCCCGCCCCCCGGCTCCAGGGGCCACGGCTGGCTCCGCTGGCCGGGCTGATGCTCAGCGCCCCAGCCCCTGGGCCTCCCACCCCCAGTGGCCACGGGAGACCCCGACTTCCCTAGCTCAGCACCGGGCCTGTCCTTCTGGAGAACCCTCCCATCCCCGAGTCCACCCCAGCTGGACGGCGTGTGCCTGGTGGCCGGGGCCTGCCAGGGACAGATGTCCCTGTGTGCTTGGGGACACATGACCAGGGCAGACGCTCTCCGGGAGGCTCCAGGCCCGGCAGCCCCTCACCCAGCGGGCCTCGCTGCCCTCCTTCAGGAGTTATGGTCAGTCTGCTCTGGAACCTGCCCTCCTCGTCAGCCGCCACCCCTGTGGGGCTCCCACCCCTCCGGGTTGATCCTGACACAACACAACACCCTCTTTCCTGCCCCTGCCGTGGCCGACGGCCTCTGCCTTTTCTCCAGCCCTGACCCAGTCCTTTTCACTCCTGGTTGGTGTCCACACGCTCCACTGGCATCTTTGTCCTTCAGAGCCTGAGAGCCCTGGGCCCTGTCCTCATCCCAGAGGCCACGACTGATCAGCCTCTGTGGTGCCCCGGCCCCTCTGCCCTTGGGCCAGGCCGCCCAGACAAGCCCCGCGCCAGCACAGAGCCAGCCTGTGCAGGGCCTGGCAAGCAGGTGACATGGGAACAAGCTCAGGATCCACCGGGCCTGAGGTGGCCCCTGCAAAGTCCATGGGGCTGTGCCGTGTGACACGTGCCCCCCACCTCCCCCCAAGGGCCTTGGCCGGACCCCGCTGCCTGGACCTGCCAGGAGTGACCAACGCCCTCCCTTCTCGGCCTGGCTCCCTTTACAGCTGAGTGCAGGCTGGCATGGCCCTCCCTCACCTCTGCCCGGGGCCCGCGCTGTGGTGGGAGGGGCAGCAGCTATACCTGGACGCCTGTGCGGAGCCAGCAGGTCCGTGTCCCCACGCCCCTCCTCTGTCTGTGCCGTACACAGCTCCGGATCCCGGCACCAGGGGACGGGCAGTGAGACCCTCTGCCCAGATGTGGCCCAGGTGCACACAGAGGCTCTCAGCCGTGACCTGTCAGGCCGCTGGGGCAGCAGGACCCGCATCCTTGCCCCAGAGAGGCCCTGCGAGGGCTGCCCTGCGCTGGGGTCCAGGACTGAGGGCCTTAGCGCCTGCCTCCCCTACTTAGTAGGTGGGGACACTGAGCCTTAAGGGTCAGGTGCCTTGGGTGCCTGGTTGCCAGCCCAGCAAAAGCTGTCCACCTCTTGAACGTCGGTCTTCCCTCTTCTGGAGTCCCTGCCCTGCCCACCCCTGGGGTTGTTGTGAGGGCATCAGAACCTGGGCCCACACCTAGCTACCCACTCCGCCTGGGGTCAGCCGGGTGGGCCGTGCCATGTGCCCCCTCCCTGGTCCTGCAGGGCAGAGGCAGCACCCGGGAACAGGGCGTCACCTTTCGGGCGATGTGACCTGGGAGGTCCTGCACACAGCGGGCCTATGAGGTGGGCCCGCAGAGCCATAACGGGGGTGGGGTGACATTCTGCCTGTTTTCAAGGACAGCATTTCCTTTCTCCAGGCTTCAGTTTCCCCATCAGTCAACCTGGGTCCCAGGCAGAGGCTCTGGAGAACCCCACCTGATTTCAACCCAAATACCTCCACTCGACCTGTTTCAGATCGGTCCACTCCCACCTCAGTGTCTGGGTCGCTCCAGGTCTGAACACCTCCCCCACACCGAGGGACCCGTTCCTAAAGTGAACGCTGGGCCCTGCCCTCTGGGCTGCTCGCCTTGCCCTCCCGCACATGTGCTGGGCGGGCGACTTGCCCCTCCAGCAGCCCCCACTCTGGGCCAAGCCTCATCCTGCTCTCATCCAGGCCCCGGTGTAGTGTGTCCAGTTGCTCCTGGGGAAGGGAGACATGGCCCTCCTGGAAACACAGGCTAGGGGTGAGCTCAGGGGAATTGTGGCACCAGGCACCTGCCCAGACCACGCGCAGAAGGCTGAGATGTAAAGAAGCAAGAACGGGTCCAGCACGGCGCGCACTGACCGCGCAGCTGCTGATGTAACCTGGCAGGGGGTCCTAGAATGCAGGCCATATTGGCCCAGCCTGGGCAAAGGCTCAGCGGGCAGGTCCTCTGTTGTGGCCAGACTGGCCTGGGAAGAAACCTCCACCGTCCCTCCCCTGCTTCCGGCCCTTGGGACAAAGACCACCACGGTCCCTCCCACTGCTTGCAGAGCCTGCTGGGCTCGGCCCCCTCTCCCCCGTGCCGTCCACTTCCAGCCTTTCCCTCTGGGCCCACCGTGTGCTCCTCTGACTCGGGCCTCCCCTCTCGCAGCCTGAGTGCCGGGGCCCCACACTGACACTGGCCGCCATGGGCCTTCCCCCACTGCTGCCCCGCAACCCCACCTCCCCATCACCCTCCGCTCTGAGCCCCCAAGAGGGGACAGCACCTGCCGTGTCCCCAGGCTGGAGCCGGCGTGGCGGGGCCTGGGGAATTATCGGGACACAGCCCGTCCATGTTGCAGCCTGGCTTCAAAAGCCCACGAGCCTCCAGATCTGAATCTTCCCGTGTGTCCCATGGGAGGAGGGGTCAGGGCCTTTGGATACGAGGGACTCTGAAAAGTGGGGAGCCACGTCGGCCCCTGCTGCGGGGGGCAGGTGGGAGGGTGAAGGGGGGGCCCGGGGGACCCGTCGGGGCCCCGCAGTTGTGCACATGGAGCCTGTGGCGGCTTGGGCTGCAGGGGCTGAGGCGAGGAGTTTGGAGGAGAGCAGGAGGTGGCTGCGTCTGAGGGTCCCCCTGGCTTGGACTGCGGGTGGCCCAGGACCCATTTACTGAGATGGGAGGGCAGGTGGGGGAGCACGCTTGAGGGGCCTCCCAGGGGTCACTGGACTCGGTGTGGCAGGGCCAAGTGGCTGTGGAGGCCCAGGCACTGGTGGCCAGGGGACGGGGGCTGCTGTGGTGATGGGGGGAGGAGGGGTCCGAGGCCAAGTGGACGTTAGAGGAGATGACAGCCCAGGGCGGACCCAGAGCTGGCAGAGATGGGAGGGACAGGAGGGTTTCCTGAGGGAGGGAGAGGTCAGTTCCCCATGTGGAGCGTTCCAGGGGGTTGGGTAGACGCAGACCCCAAAAGGGCCCTTTGGATGGGACCAGAGTTTCCTGTGATTTCTTTGTGTGTGGTGGGGGGTGGAGGGGCTGAAGCTGTGGGAGGTGGGCAGCCCTTCCAGAAACCAGGCTAGAGGAGGGGAGAGGGGCCAGCAGAGAGGGGAGTGGCGTATGGGTTGTTGGGGGCAGGAGGGTGCTTGTTTAGGAAGAGGGAGCCTGGGCTTAGAGCCAGAGAGGGGAAGCTGGAAGGCACGGGACCCCCGATGGCCCACATAGGCGCCAGCCCTCAAGTCACAGGGCCCCCCCCCCGCCAGCAAACTTGAGTCATTCACAGGGACCAAGCTGTGTCCCGGGGGTCCGTGTGTCTAAGGGGCCTTCGCCTCCACTCTCGCGCTCAGTTTCAGGAAATGCGGGAGGAGGGCTGACTCCGGGAGGGGTGGGGCGGCCGGCCACGTGCTAGCCGAGGCTGGTGCCGGCGAGGCAGATGGGTGACCCCGGACTTGCTGGTTTTGGTCTGACACTTGCGCACTTCAGAAAAGGAAAGGAAGGAGGGCGATGCTTGTACCTAAAATTGGGAGGTTCCACCCTTCTTTGAAAATTACAATTTTCTGTTTGTACACATTTTCCAGTAGAAAAGCAGAGGTTTCCTTCAAACATGGCTTAAATATGTCATGGTGTTTCACAGAGGCCCCAAACCACTCATGGGAAGCATTATGCTCCTCTTGTAATGACTCAGCTTTTATGGAATTCAAATGAACCGTAGTCATTGAACGGGGCACCCTCCATGGACACCCCCCTTTGGCCCCCGAGTTATCCTCACTTCTGTGTTGCTTTGCTTCTGCGCCCTGACGCTGCAGGAGGTGTGGGCTGGCCAGGCCAACCTCACAAAACCGGGCTCGCTGTGAGGGCTCAGCTGCGGGAGAGCCGGACCCCGCCTTCCGCTCAGGCTTGACCGGCAGCTCTGTGGGCTCCCCACCCCCCAACTCTGGGGCTTGGGGAAAGGACGCGGGATTGGTGGGCGCCCTTAGACTGGCCCCCAGCCTTGATTTCTCCATCTGTGTCACGGGTGACCTCACGGGGTTCTCGTCAGGCCCAGGAGAAGAATGGGAGGACTGTAAGGACCCCACCCCGGGTGGGTCTGGGGGCTGCTGTAAAGTGGGGGCCTTTAGAGGCCACTAGCAGAGCAGACGAGAGGGAGTCTCACTAAACACCCTGCCTGTTGCACCAGAACAGAGCCTCCCACGACCCTCAACCCATCCCTTAGGCCCCTGGAGTTCAGATCTGATACCTTTTCACCCACTGGTGTCAATGGATCGACTTGCTCACTGGCTGGCAAGGTCCCCGGCTCCCGGGGCGGGTCAGCGCTGGAGCAGCACACCGCCTCCTGGTCCTGCCCTCTGGGGCCTCGGAGCCCCCGGCCCGTCCTAGGACAGAACTGGCACTGGGAGGTGCTCAGATGTAGGAGGGTTGGAGCCCCTCTCTTCACACAGTGGACCTTGGTGGCCCAGAAAGGGCCCGGGGTCTGGGGACGGTCAGGGACACTGGAGCCTCTAGACCTGCCCCCGCCCTGCTGGTCACTCTGCCCACCCTCGTCGCCCGCCCCTGCCTCTCGCCGCCGAGTTCG